TATATTTATTATGACATATTAGTTAACTTGTATTTTCAGATTTGTTTGAATTCTCTTATAATTGTTGTCATATATTAGTTAAACTTGTACTTATTTTCATATTTCTATCAATTGTGTTTGTCTTGTGTGACGTCGGTTTGATATTATTATCTGTTATGTTTTAATACAAATACTTCCTCGACTATCATACAGAATGGTTTTTTAACCCAACTTTGTAGACATAAAAAGGGTCTGTAGACAAGGGGATCCGGTATCATCTTACTTATTTCTTTTGGTAGCTGATGACACATCCTTTATTTCAAATGGCTCAAAATCTTTATATAAAAAATATGCTAAAATATCAGGGTTAAAAGTAAATACTGAAAAAAACAAATGTTATTTGGATAGGTAGATAAGACTTTAGTGCTGATGTATACCATCACAGGTGGAAACTAAAATGGGGAACAACCAAATGTACCTTATTTGGGATTGATTTCTCTGTCAACTTAGAAGACATGGTTACTGTAAATTTCAACAAAATTATTAGTATTATAGATGGCAAGTTACATCAATGGTCAAGAAGAATTCTAATACCTATAGGGAGAATAACTGTTCTAAAATCGCTTAATATTGCAAAAATGAATCACCTGTTTATATCTCTCCCTACTCCAAGTAAAGACATAATTCAATCATTGAACAATTTTTTTTACAATTTTATCTCGCAACCACCAATCGATGGAATAAAACGCTCAACAATTGTTCAAGACTATAGTGAGGGTGGACTCAAAATGATTGATTTAGACAACTTTATATATGGATTTAAAACTAGCATTCAATGGTTCACTTTCAGGCTTCTTTCAGAATACTTCCACTTAATCATTATTTGAAATAATTGAAATCAAACAATGTGATTTATGCCAAGAAAGCAAAGAAACCATAGAACATCTTTTTTAACAGTGTCAAATAACAAATAACTTCTGGCAAAGCATACTCAGATGGATATACTTAAAAACTGACCAAACATTCGAAATAAAGGAAGATATTATACTTTTTGGCAAAACTTCTGAATTCCAAAAATCCCTTCTAACTAAAATCATCATGATTCATGCAAAATTCTTCATCTACTTTAGCTCCAGAAAGGTTTACTGTTTATATCTATGTTTAATAATGGCTATCTTTTAGTGATGTATTAAATGTGTATTACTGTTATATGTAGGAACAGAAACTGTATTTTATTGCTGACATTAGCATCAATGTGGCTCAAATTAAGTTTTTTTTTTTTTTTTCATATAATGTAAAAATTAATATTAAATGATTATTTGCTATTACTTACGCTGTATTAAATGTGTTTTACAGTTATATGTAGAACATTTTATTATTGACATCAGTATCATATCTACAAAATGAGTTGACATTCTTAGTTGAAACAGGCTCTAACTAAACTTCAAAGGATTTTCTATATAAACACCTTCCTTTCAATTCTCCAGAGTTGGAGATCGGGGAATGAGCCGTTATTTCACGCGTGTCGGTCTGGGTCATTTAAAAACCATACAAACAATCTAAATTTAAGAAATACAGATAGAAACATCAGCTAATATATGTATCAAGAATATAGAAACATACTTAAAAAGCAAGTTTATATGTTTCCAGAAGGAACCGTATATAGTGTTAAACCATTTCTCAATTTACATCAACCACGATTATCATCGCAAAACGGTCGTCAATCGCCCGCACAAATGTGCGAAAGCAATACTTGTCTATAATTTTATCGTTCGCACATCGTGCACACACCGTGCGCACCTCGCACGCACACCACGCATCGTTTAACGTTGTGCGATCCCACAACTATAATAATATTTGGATGTGTTCCCCCTTTCTGTCCTTTTTGTTCTTGTATTACCTTCGTAAATTTTCCATCTTCACAATTTTGTTTTCTTTCTTTAGGTATTTTTTGTTTGTTCTTTTCATGAAGACATAAGTAAAAACATACAACACGACATTGTTTTAGTAAGAAAATTATTAGAAGACAATGCATATTGTCAATTCGAGGAAATCATTGTCATGCATAGGCTAGGCTAAGGATTACAATATTTTGATGGTTGAATTTGATATATATATTTATAGGGCCATGCTCAAAGAAAGCATCCATACTTTTTAAGCTCGTATGTATCTCATAACTATTATACGGTGGCGCTTCCATACATATCTAAATGCATTATAAAATCGTCTTTGTATGTTTTATGGTTGGTAAAGTACAGAGTATTTGCACTCAATGGCAGATAATTACCCACTAAATCTGTACAGGTAGCACAGATAAGTCTGTACAGGTGATTTTTTTTAGTCAGTACTTAAAACGCAATAATCCAACACAATATCATGTACTATCACACTGAAGGGTAAACATCCGTATCTTTACCAATTTCTATAACTACACTATAATTGGTTTTCCTCTATTAACATGTTATATATAGCTCAGACGGTAGTCAGACAGACAATTTTGACGTGTCACATCATATTAATTAATTCTCTACTTAACAATCAATTAGTTATACGGTAACAAAATGTAACATCTCTAGACCTAGTACATGCATGGTATTCGCCTTTGAAATGGACAACTTTCCCCAAAAGTTTCATACAATCCATATGTAACCACGAAATGATAAAGTTACTCTACCTTTCCCAGCCACTCAAAGGAAATCGGGTTTTTACACTAAATATTTGGTTATTCAAAGACACTTTACATACATTATATGTAATACATGAGGTTATTTTAAAAAGTGTATTTCTTGATGATGACTAATCCATGATCCGGTTTGAATGACAACAAGATGACGTCAGGATCATATAATAATATAGTTCACGCGCGCGCGACACCAGGAAGTAAGCAATGGAAAGACACATCTCTTTAACTGTATTTGTGTCTTGCATAGATTAATGCTAGATTGATGCTGTCATGTTTTTTTGAGCAGGTTTTGGAGCAATGTACTGCAGAATAAGTGTATCAAGTTTAAAAAAAAACAGTTTTGTCGGAATGAATTAAAATCAATAAATAGAAACAAAGTTCATTGACCAGGGGAGAACATGAAACCCAGAGTTGATAAGCTTTTTTGTTGAAAAAATGCATGATTTAGTATTGTAAGTGGGAACAGCTGATGTATATATCTATTTGACCAGATATTGGCTCTCAGCCACAAAAATGCACTTTCAGAGGTCAATGTAGTATGCGAAAGAAAAACGTCTTACATGATAACGACCCGATGATAAAGAATAATTATGCACTAGAGATTGCATTTATGTAAGCACAAAGGTTAAACACGTTGCTGAGGGGGGATTTTAAATGCCCATTCACTAAGACCATATCAAGTGGAGCAGAGATGGGCTTCCGAGAAAGAATATCTGGGATATGGGGATTTCCCCTCCAAGTAACCTAGTTGACTCCTGGTCACAGTAGGCATGACGTTTGCAAACTAGGCGTTGCAACTAACATTGTAACATTGGCGAATCCTGTAGTAACGGTACAAGGTACAATCGGCTCTTCCTGTCTTGGCAGTAAATTCCTGTCTTGGTGAACATGACGCTTGTCAAGTGAACGACTACTGTATAGGCAAATATTTGGCACTTCCTGCGCTTGTAAATTCGACGCTCTCGAAAACTACACACACAAAAAAGAAACTTACCATCAATAGGTATATATCCGCCTATGATATAGTTATTGCTAGTTTTATTTTGGTACGGAAACATCTAAAGGCAAATGATTGGTTCGTCTTCAGTAAAATTGATTGATCTGCGCACTGCGGACAGTTAATACGGATCATGTTATTTATAAGTGCTCGCTATATCTAGACCATTACGTCAATGTAATGAGAAACCATTCCAACCATCTCCTTCACATGATCACCGACACATTTAGTGCTAAATGTGGAGTATTAACCCGATAAAACCAAAATTGAGAAACAATTATTGTCACTCTAAAACTTCTCAATTCATTTAACATTGTGAACAATACAGGTTTCAGCCTATAAAGCGCCTCTAGCTTAGAACTACTACATATGTCCCTAACTGTTAGACGATTACGTCTGAGTTTCACAGGTTCACACTAATTGCAAACTTAAAGATGTGTTTTTAATAGAAATCTACAATTTTTACACGCTATAACAGAAATCCCATAGGGGCGCTGGAACTGATTTAGGGCCTGCTGTTTTCAATGTACGTTTCTCCTGTATGTCACGCGCAGAACAGCGTAATTCTGCAGTAAATTATTGCATGCATCACCAGCTCCCAGTGGACTCATTAAGATAATTGCTCTATATCAAGTTTAATTCTAAACGAAACTTTTTACGATGAAGAAGAGCTGCACCCTTCTCGCGTACAAATGTAGCTGTATCGATTGATCGAAATACGCCCTGCCATATAGTGGTTACAAGGGGAGGCAACTCTGACAAAGTGATAACGAGGGCACAATACTCTGAAAGAGTGATAACGAGGACACACTACTCTGTTAAATGATCTTGTTAAACGTATTCTGCTCAACGTCGCATATATATCAGATATGCACATAAGCAAGTGGGGATGTATTGCGACAAACAATTATATATTGACACAGACAAAATCGCAGACATATACTGACTCCTACAATAAACATCTCGACCTCTCAGGCTCATACTGCAGCAACACAATGCAGCAGTTTATTGTTTATTTGTTGTTGTGATAGAAAGCTGGGACTAAGGCCATTAAAGAATCTGTATTAGCGTTGGCCTTCCTGTGTTCTAAGATTTACTCGTAGTACTTTCTGTTTTGTTACGACATACTGACAATAATTTCTGTTTTATAGAACTTGCTGGCTATTTCTGTTTTGTTTTATAGGACTTGCTGGCTATTTTGTTTTTATTTTGTAGGACGTGCTGGCTATTCTGTTTTTATTTTGTAGGAGTTGCGGTCTTTTTTGTTTTCGTTTAGTAGGGGTTGCTGTCGATTTTGTTTTTGTTTTGTTGGACTTACCGGCTATTATTTCTGTTTTATAGGTTGAGCTGGGTACTATTTCTATTCACCATTCCCGTAGTATTGTCCCAAAACATCGCCTTAATCATCATCGATGTCCAGAATTGTTTCCTTCCGGGAGGCAGCCTCGCTGTGACAGACGGACAGGAAGTCATCCCGATAATTAATTCATTGCGCACTGACTACAAAGACGCATTCCGATTGGTTGTATTATCTCAGGACTGGCATTGTTCCGATCACATTTCATTTGCCTCCCAACACGCAGGATTTAACGCCTATCAGGAAGTGTCGTTAGCGTACGATAAGAACGGTAAGAAATGTTATACAGACAAGTCATTGTGTTTTCACAGACTTTAGTGACACGTCGTGTGTGGGCTGTAGTTATTTTAGTACGGTTTGGAATCGACATTATCTCAAAAATATTTATCTTGAATGTTGATGTTGCCGACGTGGTGCTATAGAAACGTTCAACCCCCGTATCAGCCCAAGTGTATCGCATACTTTCTTATTTCATTTTCATTGTGATTTTTCTTTCTTTTCACTTAGTTTTACAATGGTTGTGCTGATTTTCTAGTTTTATTCTAAACGCTTAATGGTTTGAAACCGGAAACTGTTTACCTCCCTTTAGTGTGTTTTGTTGTCCTGAACTTCGATTTCTACATATTGAGGAGTCGCATTATCAACAACCAAGGGTTATCGAAATCTGCGCCAGTCCCCAAAGAAAGGTTCAGTTCAAGACTCCGATATCTTTGCCTGAAAACACTGCTTTATGTATTTGTATTGGATTTAATTCGTTGACCGTACACAAAAATCAAAGGCGTAGGAATGTATAAGAGTTGTGCAAGAAATATAACTTCACTACCCTAGACATTCTGGTTTCAGTACATTTCGGTTTCAGTCAATGATAAGACCGCGTTACTCCTGACAATTTGGTTTCAGTACATTATAAAACCGTGTTAGTCCGGACATTTTGGGTTTTAATATAAGAAACAATCGCGTTACTCCAGCAACTTCGGTTTCAGTTTTTGATAGATCTGCGTTACTCTGGATGTTTTGGTTTCATTTCATAATACAATCTCGTTACTCCGGACATTTTGGTGTCAGTATCTTGGGTTACGTGTCAGGAAGGGCATTTTGGTTTTGATATAAGAAAACATCGCGCAACTCCGGCAATTTCGGTTTCAGTTTTTGATAAATCTGCGTTACTCTGGATATTTTAGTTTCAGTTCATAATACAATCTCGTTACTCCGGACATTTTGGTTTCAGTTTCTTGGTTTCGTGTTAGGAAGGACATTTTGGTTTTATATAAGAAAACATCGCGTTACTACATCAATTTCGGTTTTAGTTTTTGATAAATCTGTGTTACTCTGGATATTTTGGTTTCAGTATATGAAACAGTTTCTTTACTCCGGACATTTCAGTTGCTTTTTATGATAAAACACATTTTTCTTAACATTTTCTTTTCCGTATATGATTGAACGACGTCAGGTCGGATATGTCGTTTCAGTTATATAACATTACCGCGCTAAATATTTCTACAGTCAGTGTAATCTCGCATGTCTGGGACATTTGGTTTCTTCGTGCAGGTGTAGGGACGAAATATTCCGATCCTTTACTGTTGACTTTGTAAAACATTCGTGCAATTTTTTTATGCATGTAAATGCATTTCTAGTTCGTCAATAGTAGAATCTAGAGCACCACATAGGGACGCGCCCCCTATTGATGGAAGCGAAATAAAATTGAAACCTTTGTAATTTAATGTTTAAAATGCTCAATACGTGTCCCTGACGACTACTGATATACTACTATAATACAACCGAGGGTTGATTACAACTCCGAGAAGGAAGTGGATATTACACTAGCGATCTAGATTTCATTATACATGCGAAATTCGGAATGCGTCTCCTGAAATGACCTTCAGATCTGTACATTTTCATGTAATTTTACCCGTTAACTCGGTTACGTTTTTATCTCCAGTCTATTGAGGTTTCCTTTAGTAAACGCCGTTTACTGGCTTACACATTAAATCAAATGAATAGTCCGAAAACTAGAACACCCCACCGACGTACTGGGCTTCTTCTTTTGTGTGGACTAATGACCATGACTTTGTCACAGTTTTGTCTGCCCGTCAGTTTGCATGTGATCGGTGCTCAATATAGATGTCCTGTAGACTGTAGACTAGATTACCACTTTGTATAATACGGAAAATGAGAAAAAATAAGTATTGGTTGAAATTACTTGAAACAGATAACTGTATTTTGAAAGCCTTGTATAATGATATGTTGTCTGAAGTAAATACAAAGGCCAAAAACTGGCTTAGTAATGTGAAATCAATGTTAATGTCTCTAGGTTTTGGATATGTTTGGTATGATCAGAAAGTTGTATGTAAGAATCAATTTATATTGGACGTTAAACTACGTCTACGTGATGTTTTTATACAAAATATGAACAATTTTTTTGAAAACTCTACGAAATGTTTTTTATATAGATGTCTGCCCGAGGTTAATTGTCTTCAGTATTATCTTTGTAAATCTTTTCCTGAATCTTGTATTTTAACCATTGCGAAATTTAGATTATCTTCACACGACCTTCGTATAGAAAGGGGCAGATATGAGAGAATACCTCGTAATGAAAGACTTTGTTTAAAGTGTAATTTAGGCGATATAGAGGAGGAATTGCATTTTATTCATGTTTGTCCATTTTACAACGAAGTAAGAACACAATATATTGACAGATATTACAGAATTAGACCGTCTATGTTTAAATTAATTAATTTACTTTCTGTTAGAAGTAAGAGGAAATTGAATAATCTTTCCAAATTTTTAATTTCTGCTTCACAACTGAGATCAAATGAATAATTACACATATTGTCCATCCTCCATAATATGTCTGTATTGCTGTGTATCACTCACTCAATTTTGTAAAATGTATTGTAATGTTTATGCTGATTAGCCGAAAGGCTAAAGGCCAATAAACTAAACTAAACTAAACTAAACCGAGTGTATGGAGATACGCGTCTGAGATTATCACTGGGAAAACCAGGGTGTTGACGGCAATACAAGTTGGTGGGTGGTTGAGTTGGGGATAATCGGCAATGTTACTGCTACATGTATGTTGATTTATTTTCGGATCTACTTGACGATTTCTAGTGCACATGTAACATTTCTACCTCCACAAATGAAAATTTGAAGAGGCAAACCACCATAAATTTATTTTAAATGGCGGTGTTTCATGACGTTGCAAACCATAGCGTGACCACAAAAGATTAATAATATGAAATAGGCACTGCCTATAAGCGAGCGCACATAGTTCGGTAACCTTTGTGATGATAGTGTAGATCTTGGGCGCCTGCAGCGCCCCAGCTAAGGGCTTTAAGGTTACAAAACGAACAGAATCCCTCCTTAGGACAAAGATGCGTCAATTTGTTGTTACTAATTTACTATTATTTCAACACCTTTGTAAATATATCGCCTGATCCCTTTTAGCATCAAAATTTGTCAAGACAAAATGACAGAAATAGGATCTACTTTGCCATATTTGTTAAAAAGGCAAAGTATTGCAATGCAATCCATAGTCACTCATCGGTAAGAATTGCTATCTTTAACAAACAGTACACTTATGTCAGGAAGCATAGATCACAGTGAGGTTATAGTGATCTACTTCACTCCTCCATCCCAAGATGTCCTTGTTCTTCAAATCAGCTTACTCAGGGTGAAATAGTATAGAATTTATGCCCCGGACAAACATTTTTAAATGCAAAGGTCAAAGGTCAAGTCATTGATCACAATGACCTAATTATGTACACTCTGACCTAATTATGTACACTCTGACATCCCAAGATGTCCTTACATTTTTTGAATGTTTTTTGAATTCCTTGAGAGAAATTCATATTAGGAGTGACCAACATATATTATTGATATCATTTATGGTGGGTACATAATTTTCTGACATACGATATATATCGCTGACAATTTTCGAAAAAAAAAGGATATAGTGGAGGAATGAATGACACGGGGGTAATGAAATAACAATTTCAAATATAGCGACTTTGGACCTTTCCATCCATGAAGAGTGTTTGATTCTAGCATATCTGGATCTGAAGAAGAAGAATGTTGAAATTTCAGCCAATTTTCCCTCTTTGGCCCCTCCCTATAGGCCCTAGGGAAGGGCCAGGTTCTTAATTTTCATACCATAAAAATTCAGTCACATGATAGTCATTCCAACCAACTTTGTTCCCACTGAGAGTAAACAAATATACCCAAAA